TTGTTCGGTAGATCGCAATAATATTGGCTGAGTGCTTTTTCATGTACTTAAATAAATGTTTTGTTTTGGTTACCGATAATTTTGCTCAGCAATATTCCCCTCCAATCACGTGATTCTTGTATAAATCATGTCAAGTATTGGTTGCATCATTTACCATTTCGATCCATTAAAAATCGATCATATGACCGTTGTGTACGTTTACAAAAATGCGCGATATCGATAGTGATAATTAACAATTTTTTAACGGCAAACCCACTGATCGAAGTCCGAGTTCGCGTTGAGCGTATGCGTTTATGTGCGATAAACACCGTGTGCACCATACTTAATTTTTACTAACTAAAAAAAATAATATTTCATGTTATTTGCTTTGTTTCGATTCATTGCGCATTACGACCAATTCGTGCCGGACCTTTTCTCTTGTGTGTTCCCNCATTTCGATCCATTAAAAATCGATCATATGACCGTTGTGTGCGTTTACAAAAATGCGCGATATCGATAGTGATAATTAACAATTTTTTAACGGCAAACCGACTGATCGAAGTCCGAGTTCGCGTTGAGCGTATGCGTTTATGTGCGATAAACACCGTGGTGTGCACCATACTTAATTTTTACTAACTAAAAAAAGTAATATTTCATGTTATTTGCTTTGTTTCGATTCATTGCGCATTACGACCAATTCGTGCCGGACCTTTTCTCTTGTGTGTTCCCATGTTTTGTTTAATTGAAAAAATATATTTTTATTATTTTGTTATCGGAACCATATGCGTACGGCCATTTTCGGATATGAAGTGATTAGAATCATCTAACAAGTAACGTTTTCGTATTATTTAATATTCGACAATTAGTCCTTAAAATATTATACTAATAGTTTTTCGTGACGCTTCTTCCAACAATAAAAACCTAATGACAAGGAATGGCATGCTAATTTTCAAGGCAACGTTTTCACGCTGCTGTGTGCTATTGTTACAAATTTAATATTTTAATTTTGGCATGTACATTATATAACAGGAATCCGTTATAAAATAAACACTATGGTTTTTCTTTGGTGTTAACAATTGTATTCTTCACTCGTTATGAATGTAAATTAAGATCTAAAATATTGCAATACATTTAAATATGAAGTACTTGATGAAATGAAACAAAATTTAAGTGTCCCACACAACTTGTAGTAGGGCTACCGATATTATTAAACATGACAGCACGCCGAGTGTGTAGATAAAATAAAACATAATAATTTACTTTTTTTTTTTTAATTCGGGCAGTATTTTATTGACCCCGAAGTCGTTATTATTTACAACTATACTACAAAGTGTATCGTCGTTTATATTGAATGATAGCTGTCCACCCATTTTTTTTTATTATTGAAATACCTAGTATTTATTAATCGCTAAAGAATGTTATATGAATTTCCTGCTTGTCTAGCACCCACGTGCCAAAACGCGTGGCTAACGGTGTTATACCTGCCCTGGGCGGCGGGTTGTGCACTTGAAATTATAAATTGTGAACCCAATGATGACAGGTCAAAGAAGCAGGTATGCGATCTCGTAGTTATTCTTATTAAAATATCTGTTACAATTGTCGGACCACTAGAGAGCGCATACGGCATGTGTTTTTAAGGATTCAGCTATGTAGATTCCTTTTGCGTCAATTGAAATTGTACTTAACAAGTACAAAAATGTTAGTAAATTGTTGCTTTTGTGCAAATGTGCGTATCTCACGAGAAAAATCCATTTATAGACCATTTTGTATATTCAATGTCGTGTCTCTGGGCTTAAATTTAATAATAATTTTTGTTGCGTAGGAATGCAGCGGTAAAAAAATTATATATATTATTTTATTACGTCGATAAAGCAAAATTGTTCAAGGACGATGTCGTGTTAACTAAAATGTACTCTAAAATGAAGAATACACACAATTAAATATAGTAGTTCCACATTGTTAAAGAATTTTAAGGTTCCATTTTTTTTTCTATTCGTACTTTTCCATTCTATTGAGTATATTGACTCACGCGAAAACTATTTGATTCTATCGATTTTCAAACTATGTGTTCATTTGTCATGTTTGCGCTAGTAATTGTAAACTGAAGTCCTTGCAATTATGAATCTATCAAAAAAAAAACTATTATCAGTTTCAATAATAACGAAGTCTCTTAAAAAAATTTGATAAACAAATAATCAACACGACCAATTAATTAAAAAATCTGAAGGTCAGTGTGTGTTGTATTGTTTCCATATAAAATTCAATAGGAGGCGACGGAAAAGAGTAACGCAGGCGACACTAACCATATTGTATGTATTATTAAACAACCGCGATAACGACCAAAGAGGGACGACAAGTGCTTTGTCTCGTTTACTCTTTTGGAGAGCTATAAAATCGCTTCAAGTGTGCGCCTACCGTCGCTATAAAATATATGGTATTGTTTACCACATCGCAGTTGATATCCCCTTCTATGAGAATCCCTTCGGTTTGATTTGCATGCAGGACCTGTTGCCACAAGTCGTAAAAACTGACCGTTATTAACCTCAAAACAGCGTTAAGTTGCTCCCCTTAACGACCAGTTGTCCTAGTAAATTGTACTGTTGTTAAACCATCTACATTCTGATTGCCATATTATTAACTAATAAATTTTCCGTTTTTTTCTTTCAGCTGTGATGAGACCAAATGAGGGCGGTAATTGTGACGTCGACTGTCCTCGACTGGATTCTGTATGCTGTGGAGGCGAAATTGACGAAGAAGACGACCCCGAACGATTGCTAGACGTCTGGCTCGGCGAATTGGACTCGTTGGCTTCGGTAATAATTATTTGTTTTATTTTGGCGTCATATCGTATAAACATAGTCCCCTATATAAGCATTCAATTGGTAGCGATAAAGTTATTCAAAATTAGGTCAACTAATTAAATACTGACGGAGGAAACCGTAGTGTTACAGAGCGAGTAAAGTGATGAATATATAATGTTTTGACGCGAGAAACGAATGACTGAAAAAAATGAGTACTCTTTGTGAAAACAATTGGGAGCTTAAACTTTTACCGCGAGAAACTGTAGTAACTTTAATATTATTTTATAGCGCACGTTTACCCTAATAGTGTTTCCCCTTCTCTCCGCGTAAGAATTGTCAGTACCCAGAACACATAAAAAATACCGTATTTTTACTTATTTTATGAATTGGGCGTGACGCAACTCCTCGTAATGTCTATCTAAGTATCATAATTATTATTTCTATACGTAATACGTCGTTGTTTAAGTAGGCCGTATAAATTGTCTTGTACAATTTTATAATGCACGAGTCGTAAATTAGTATAACATAATAGTGACCTATAACCTGCGGAAACTAAATTAGCGTACAAAAACAGTGGTAACATTAACAATACCTGTACGTTAGTTCATGATCATCGATTTGTTTGTTTGATTCTCTTTGGTGTTCATCTTTTTCTTATTATCTGCAACCGTCTTCTATTGATCTCAACAAGTTGTTCTTAGATTTCGGACACGCTTCTTCCAATACCAGTTGCATTGATGTAAGAAGCACAGCATCACCTCAAACCCATCAACAGATGGCATGCGCCCTTATTAGAGAAAAGCAGCTGCTCGTCGTGTGTACTGCACGTGTCTGGCAGGTGGCATGGACATCTCTGCAGCAACAGCACCTGGCCAGGTGCGAGGTTCGTTCAGGCCCGTATATCATGTATTATATATACGCCGTGACATATAACACCCGAAAACCGTTTTTACCATCAACAGGCACACTTAAATCAGAAAATAATTACTTAATTTAATTCTTTAAACAAAATTGATAGTTACTAAAAAAACATACAGTTCTCATGAATAACTATTTTTGGTGATTAGTTACCAAAAAAAAAAATTTTCTTTAATTTTGATTGAACTTGCTGTTAAATTTTCAATGTTGATTCATTTTACAGTCTTTCTCTTACTCTTACTTTTTTAAAATTGTTCATTACGTTATTCTAGACGAGGTTCACTTTTCGCTAATTTGAAAATCCTACTAAACGTCTCTTTTTTTTTTCTACTGGTTGTACAATATGTTTATAGTGAAGTCGTCTACAGCTAGTTCACAGCTTGACGTCCGTTTCGACGTGAATTCAATACATTAAATATGTTTGTCGGTGTGGGAAGTCCTCAAAAACCCGCAATATATCCCTTTAAGTGGACCGATTCTACGGGTTCCTGATCAAACACAATAATATTATGTGTAAGGCGGTTACGAAGACATTGTGGTAACTCCCTTCAAGATCTCAACTAGAGTGGGAATCAAAAAAACTGTTTTTAACATTGCACTACGGATTCGTTCAAGCCACGCAGATAGAAAGTTCTCATGTGTATTTATATTACTTAAGTCTTGTCGCCGTAGAAGATTCACCGGTTTAACCACTGTTAAATATATATTTTAGTATACGAATAAACTTCCTAATGGAGATGCAGTCGTCGAGTTGACATTTCCAACATGTACTCGAATGATGTGTTCTGTTTTTTGACACTTGTGTCTAATAGTCTACTTGGCGCAAGACTTTGAATACGTTCCAAGTGTCAGTTAGTCGATCGTATTCCCTCACCAGATCATGTCACACGTCGACTCCGGTCAAGGTTATCACAAAAGTATTATCACCGTATATGTGAAATCAGTTTTACGGCCCATTGCACTTTAAACCCCATGTCAAATCACATGCGTTATAAAGTACTACAATTGCTGCTGCAATAGTCTGTATGCATAAAACACGCATGGTTAACTAACTGGTTTGCTCACGGTTTTAATAGATGTAGTAGTAGTCGATTACAAACATTATTATATGCTTGCGGAGGCAGAGGTTGTCTTTAAGATAGACATTGGCGCCTCGTAAATATTTATAACAAAATTGTACGTCTCAAAAACAACCGTATGTTTGACCATATGGCGATGCAAAAACAATTCACCAGTTTGTTGATCAAAATCTGCGTTTGCCGAGGTAAAATAATGATAGTACATAAAAAAAAAAAAAAATCACCTCATCTAAACGCAGTAATGTACACCAAAAAAAAAAACAAGTTTTCAGATTGAATAGCGGACAAACATCTGCTGTCCTATACGTTCGTATAGGTACCGACTGAGACATGTGTTAGGCACAGTCTCTTAGATTACACCTGGCAGTGGCGACGGCGGCAGCTGCTTCGGGACACCCGTCACGATCGAGGTCTTCGCTGCTGGGTGCGTACCTATACCCGAAAACCCGGATCAGTTCTTATCGAACCGCGGAACCGTCATCACCTAGTCATCGTTAGTGTGCCAGTGCCCGTGTTTGTATATGTGTGCCACCTAAAGTCGCGTCATGTTCTCCTGTAAGTCCAGGTACGCTTGTGGTAAGGCTACCACCGGTGGACCGTACAGCGATAGCGATGAAGACAGTAGTTACGGATTCAAAGCTCGATCGTCCAGGACTCGAGCCTCAATGTCCGCTGTTATCCAACGGGACGATCCTGAAGACTATCACATTTACGGTAACTTGACGTTTGGTTACAAACCAATATTGAAGACTAGATTATCCAGTGCCAATAGCTCTATGCGTCGACGCATGCCCGTCAAACGAACCGTAAGCTTTTCCGGCGTTGAATCGCCTGAACCCTACAGACGGCGATGGAACGTCCGACCACCACCACCCAGTTATAATGTTGCCGTCCGACGAGCCGCTAGTTTTTCAGCAACCAGACGTAACGTCGCTGAAATCGTGGCTAAATCTAGCCAGAGACAGCGAATGCCCTTACCACATGAACAGTGTTATGTCATGTCACCACCTCCACTTGCGCCTACACATTCAAACTGCTCCAACAGCCAACAAGTTGTTGTAGACGTTCATAAGTCACCGTTACAGCGTAGACCATCTTTCATAGCCTCTGTAAGTCATAAGCTTTTGAATCTTTAGGCTCATTTTTTGTATTGATTATTAGTCTAGTTAAAAATAAAGTGAGAACCAAAAATAGGATAGAAAAAGTGACCAATTACAGCCATAATGATAAACGGGTATTAGTGTGTAGTGTGTAAGTGGCGTGCGTTAAGTCTCTTTGATGTTTGTCTGCTGGATTTGTTCATGGAAGTACTTGAAAATGTGGTTATCCGATCATGTTGGATTACAAATCTTAAACGATCACATTATGGGTTGTTCCAATAATAGATCAAATCTCTGGAGCGACTAGGGAGATGTATTTATTTTTAATTTTCTGGTGTTGTTTTGTAAAAACACTACAGAGATCTTGGCAGTCGATCGATGAGAAAAACTAATCAAGCAGTTTTAATGAAAAATTCTTATTTTTATTTATAGCAATCCACTGTTTTGTCGTGGTAATCATTAATGGTATATTGTCGCTGTGTAGAACAAAACAATGGACAGCCTTCTATTTATTATTATGGCCGTTTGTTTAAAACAGAAAAGAGTGAGACGGTAACTTATACATAAAAACCCGAGTTGTTGATCTAGCACGAGATCATTGTTTCGTTATTTTTTAATTGAAACACTATAATGTGTGTTTGTGTTTGCGCATGTTTTTGTTTTTTTTTTTACTAAAACAATGTGGTCGCTTAAAACGCTTAACTGTGCTGATATTCACAGCACCAATGAGTGTTACTTAAAAAGCAGTTGAAAAATGGTCGCTTTGAGTCGTTACAGCAATCGGACAGCTACCAGGAGTTTAATTGGGTAAAACAATTATAGTAATTGAGCAACGGATCCGTTTTGAAAACGCTCCTCAGTTGTACTTCTGAATCATACCGGGAGTCATTTATAATTTTATAGTCCCAGACTCTCGACGTATACATATAAATCATTTTAACTAAAGAAAGTCGCGTGTATAGTTGTAGTGGAAATCAAGGATAGGTCAAAACGAAAATACTTTATGTTAATACATATAGAGTTGCGTGTGGTTTTTTTTTTCAATAATAAGATTTGCCGGTTATATTGCGCTGACTAAATTGAAGATGAAATTCCTATGGTAAAAAACAGGTGTTCGTCTGGTATTGCGTGCACGACTTTTGTACTGATCATATTATAAACCATTCTACATAAATAAAAATTGTTTTCTAATTTTACAGGGTTTGAATACCAGTATTAGCCCTTCAAAACCAGTCGAAGATGGCCCAGTAAAAACACCACCCCTACCTACAGATATTGCTGGACAACGTATGGACTCGTATCGATTCTCCATGGCTAATTTAGAAGGTACTTATAACTCTAATTAATTATAAAACTTTACCCAATTCTGTTGTCAATAAAAGCGTAAGCTTTAAGTCAAACTTTTAAAAGTTTGTCTAATGAAAGTTTTTAAACTCATTTGTGAAGATTAATATTTAATATCAATCAAAAATAATTCTAAACTGTGATTAGTGATAATAAAAAAGATCGATTTTTATCGATTGACTTAACTAATGAAGTTAACGGCTTCTTTTAGATACACAAGATGTGGACTTAGATGCCGTATTGGGTGAATTATGTGCATTAGAGTCACAGTACCAGAGCACGACCAGTTTGATGGAATCCGAAAAAATAATGGGTAATTATCATTTTCCTCACCATTTACTATTCAAATGTTTCTACTACTTCCACTAACAGTATATTATCTACAATGTTGCAGATGCAAATTCAATGAACAGGATGCTGTCGAACTCGAATCAAACGGGACCAGGTCAGTTTTTCCTTCTTGTCTTTGGATCCCCCACATCAATTTTCAATTATTTACCGTATCGTCTAGTATGGTATCCGCAAAACCTCCATTATTATTTCTCTCGTTTTCAATAACAATACGCTGTCATTGTTAACCCAGAAAATTCATTCACAATACGTCTGGGAAGGGTCGATATCATAAGTGTGAGGCACCTGGCCAAAAATCTTTGTTGTTCTTCCTGAGGGGAACTCAAATAATGACGGGCGTCTGATTTTGGCTTCAAACCAATCGTATAGTAATATTGTCGTACACATCGTTTCGTAGCCACGTCGCCCTTGCCAGAGTTTTATGCCAAAACAAACGTATGGGATGAACGACACCCTCTCAATATCTTATTAATATTATTCCCTAGTATCCTATAAACGTTGTGCTTAGTATTAACTAAACAAATATGTGTTATTTACAGTGGTCAGAACTGACAGTCCGGATAACGATTCCGCATTTTCGGATTGCGTGTCCCTTTTGTCGAGCAGCGAGAGTTCGGCTTCGAGTGGCACGACCAACCATTCGGTCAATAAGGTGAATAACTTGTTTTTTTTTTTTTTTTGTAACCTGCTTAACTAATTGCGTGTTGTATATGTTTCCAGGAAAATTCCAAAGCCGAAAAAATCCGTCTGGCTCTACAAAAAATGAAAGAAGCCAGCGTAAAAAAATTGTTCATAAAAGTTTTCAATGACGACGGTGGTGCCAAATCACTGTTAGTGGATGAAGGTATGCGTTGTAGTTACGTTATGCGTTTATTGGCCGAAAAACACCATATAAATCTCGGACCGCGCTGGGGGCTTGTTGAACATCTGCCGGACCTACACATGGGTAAGTGTGAAAAAATAATTTGCAACGATTGGCAATCACATGTTAAGTTTTTTTCTTTTGAAATTTTATAGAGCGCGTATACGAAGAACACGAGTTGCTCGTAGATAACTTAATGTTGTGGACTAGAGATTCAAAAAATCGTTTGTTATTCGTTGAAAGACCCGAAAGGACTCAAATATTTGAAAATCCTTCACTGTTCAACTCTTCTGAACAACAAAAGTCGCCTATCCACGTGAATGCAAATTTTGCTCAAGTAATTATTGTTATTCAGTACTATACTTATTAATTTAAAAGTTTACAAATATACAGTATATTAATGGTAAGATTTAAAATAAAACAATACTAAAAAATTTAATAGTATTTGTAAACTTGAGCTATTAATTTTTTATCTAAATTATAATTATTTAACATTTTCATTAACTTTAATACTGAAATAATCACACGCAAATTCAATATAATAAATTTATGTTTAAATATTTCAAAGTTGATTTGTATATTTTGAATTTTTGTTTACAATATTTCTTAATGTCATTTTAATGGATTAAAATTTTTTTTGCAGGAATATTTTTGTAACGGTGGATTACCAAGTATTGAAGGTCCTTTATACATCAAGACAGATTCCAGAAAAGGCTGGAAAAAATATTACAGTGTTCTTCGAGCATCTGGACTATATTACTACAAGGATAAGGTTTCGCGATTGCCGAAAGATCTCATTTGCTTGTCCACCTTCGATGTTAACCAAGTGTACTATGGTGTTGGCTGGAAAAAGAAGTATAAGGCTCCAACTGAATTTTGTTTTGCCATTAAGCATCCTTGTCTTCAGCAACCTAAGTCCACTAAATACATCAAGTATGTGTGTGCTGAAGATGAAGCTACACTACAGCGTTGGATGTCAGCTATAAGGATAGTCAAATATGGTCAACAGCTGTTAGATAATTATGAATCTGCCCTTACCGAAAACCATTCCATAATGCGGAATACAGACATTGAAGACATTGAAAGTGGCCTGTCAGATTCTGGTTCTTCTGGTTGTGATGTAGCTTTTGAGTCTGATTACCCACCTTGTGGTACTATCAAACGTAAACCTCCTAAACTACCTTTAACCGCTACTACTAGGCAGCTAACTTGCTCATTAGACACTGCTGCATCTCCATCTTCTCCAGCTAATCATCATCGTAGTAGTTTGACATCAGCTCTTAGTAATACTTCTACCAATTCAGGGTCATCAAACAAAACCATTCAAAAACCTGTCAAGACAGTTAAATTTGCTGATCGGACACCTAGCCTTGAATCTTTGCCTCCTCCCCCACCTGAACTATTAGTTGATGATGAAGACGAACCTAATGATCAAGAGATCATGAGTGTACCTCCACCTCCACCTAAGTTGTTATCACCACCAAGTACAGCATTTTTGGCTGATCTTCATCGTGTTGTGTGTAAAAAATGGCAAGTAGCTCAAAAATGCAAGTCTGACACAATGACCACTCCTCATGAAGTTCTTGGCTTCAGAGATCCCAATGGTGGCCAACAGTATAGCCGTGAGGCTAATGTTAGCAATTGGGTTGCTGAACACTATGGACCTAATAATTTATATGAAAATATATACCCAAAAAATAGCCCTTCAGTAAACTACGTTCCTGTTTCTAATAATGCAAATCAACTTAAAAAGAGACCTCCCCCACCACCACCACCTAGGTCTGAAAAAACCCAATTATCAAGGGTGGCACTATAACTGCTACACACATACCATAACCTTTAAAGCTTTAAAATTGTGTATCATTATTTTATTAATTATGGATGAATAGTTTTGTACAAAAGTAATATCCGTAGGATACTTAATATTTTGTACAATTAGGAACATAGAATAATTCTATTATATTTGTTTAGTGTTATTGCTTGATTTTATGATATTAGGTACTGCTGTTTATTATTATTATTTGTTCTTAAAAAAATTGTTCATTATTATAGCTTATTATAATTTTTATTTAGAAAGCTTCTATTATAATGGGTAATGCTAACACCTGATTGTAAACTAATTCATAAGACGATCAATATTATTCATTTTTGTTTTAAATAATCTAGTGTATTTTACAACTATAAATTGATACTATTGTTCGCTTAGGCGATACTGGCAAAACCATCGCATACATTTTATTGTTTAGAAATAATAATATGTTACTAAAAGACTGTATTTTTGTGTTGATGTTAAAATTGTTTATATATAGTATATAATTATTATAATAACGGTATTAATTTAATATTACAATTCTGACGATGTTATGATATTTGTTGCAATTATATCGTGATTGGTGCTTTTTTTTTATACAAATAAAATAAGCCAATTGTTTCATTTATGTCCACATGTTACAAGGTATGGTGCAAGAGTCTTCGATGAGATTTACCTTTTTATTGTATTATAATTTCAAAAATGCGACTATAATGAATTTTTTTTTTGTATAATTTTATATATATATATATATAATAATAAAAATAATTTACTAGAAACACTTTGTATTTATGTCATCCCATTTAAAAATTAAATGGATAAAATACCAACTATAATTTTAAAATAAAGAAATTTTTAAATTATATATCTAGAAAGTATAATAAAGTAGGCAATTTTAAGTTTCAAGGTAAAGTAATTTTGATAGGAATTTTTAAATTTTCCTTTTTATCAACTGTTTAATTTTTTTTTTAAACTTGTAATGATAATAAAAAGTTAGAATAACATGAAAAGTAATAATTAATTTTAAGAAAGTATATAATTACTTTTTTATAATGAATAAATAAATATTAAGAACAAGAAATATTTTATTTGCCTTTGATGTTTAATAATTTGGACAACATTTTGTATTAGTATGAAATAAGTTACAAACCCATAATATTAGAATACTTTTTAATATATCCAACTTTTTTTTTATTCACGTGATATTAATTTTTCAATTTGTTTTAATATAAATAATTTTTTATATGAAAGATATTTGTTTTTAACAATTAAGCTATTTAATTAATAAATCTAAAACAGGTAGGCCTAACCTACTCTGTAACACGGAAATTACTGAAAGATAATTTTCAATATTATGTCAATGACTTCTCAAACACCTCCAAATCTTGTTGAAATGATAGTCTAGTAAAGAAAATGAACTACTCAGCGTTATAAAAATAATCAAGAAACATCTTTTGACATAATAAATTCCTAAATACTATTGTAACTCATTAGAAAATTTGTGCTGGGGTCCCAAATATAAGCCAGACTACTAATGATGAAAAAAAATGATTGCTTTTAGAGTAGGTTATTTATGAAAATTGCCACCGGGAGCAACATAATATTTGTGGCTTAAACATAAGCAAAAAAGAGGGGAAATTAGGGTTACTTAATACCAAGTATTAATAAATGTAGGAATTTTCTTAACATCTCTTATCTTTTGTATATTTAATGATTCCGTTTTTTTGCTAATTTAATTGCAAATATAGAGTAGAACATTTTTAGGGACTCGGCAATAAGATTTTTTTCAGCCATACCTACAAGTTTTATATAAAATTTCCAGACACGCGTACTAACCAGAGTCGTATTTATATGCAGAAAATATAGGCAACTGCCTACAGCGGTATATTTTAAGGCGCGGCAAATATTGAAGTCCAACAAATTTATATAAAGCTAGTTATTTTTTTAATTATTAGGAAGTCAATATGACTTCCTAATAACTATCATAATCGTTCTCATTTATTGTGTATTTATGATATGTATATTAATATCTACAAGAAATTTATTTTATGATTTAATAATAAACATAGATTTGCTTGAAAAATATTTTTAAATAATTTTTTTTTCTGAGGGAAAATTAGTAGTGTTATGGCGAAAATATATAAAAATGAGCCCCTCCACCATAACGTAATGAAGGGCAGCAAATTTTTAAATGCCTATGGCGGTGAATACGCCCCTGGTACTAATATTTATTTAAAAAAAACCTTGTGAGTCTATTAGGGTCCAGACTACTTGGACCCACTCAGATACCGATATTTTTACATTATATATTATGTAGGATAAGACTTTTTAATATGTATTCCAAGTAAATGTTTGAAAAATGTTAAAAATTCAAAACTGGAATATATGTTTCTTATTTTCTATGCTTTAAATAAGACTAAAATTAGGATTGAAAGTTTATTAAAATGATTTAAAAATATCAATTGATGTATTCAATACAAATAGTTTATCACAGTTAATAAATATAAAATACAAACATAAAATTTCTAATAATCCTCCAGAGGTGTATTTTAAAGAGAAGAAGCGATCGCCAACTCTGAACATGTAACGATCCAAATTATGTTGAACTGATATTTTTGACCAATAAAAAAAAAATATTAGTTGAAATATTTTTCATATAACTTTCAATTAATTGATAAATATTGGATTATTGTATTGAATAATTGATGATCATAAAAAAAAGGTCATAAACTTTAAATTCAATAGGAATTGAATTTGATACCTAATCAATAAGTATTTAATGTTCAAAAGTTAATTGCAGACTTTTATTATTAACATGTTGATGGACAAAATCATGTATTACTGTTATGGAAGTAATATTAAAATTTGACGTCTGGGGTCACTTTTAAATATTACTGCTATAACAGTGGTTTATTTATTCTAAAAATAACATTACTGATATAGCAGTAATATTTTCAATGATTTCTTATGAAGGAGGAAGTCGTTCTGACCCCATGCATCTCATAAAACCAGTGGGCACTCTATTTTTAGCTAATCCATGTCATTAACTGTCCATCAACGTGTTAATGATCCTATAATAAACATCAACAAACTTTTATATAAATTAACCTAATATTCTTTTGAAATTGTTAAGTAGTTACCTTTAAAATACAATTTTTAAAATAAGTGACTCAAATGTCGCTTAGTTGATTGTACTTTTCACTTTTTTCTTACTAATAAGATAACACATATTTATTTAAAAAAACACTTTTATCATACTATAACTAGCTATTTATGTTGAGAAAATAATATTTTTATCATTCAGCGACAATTTGTTAAAAAATTCTCTGTACTTTTATGATAACTTTCATTGTCAAATTATATAATTTGACAATGAAAAAATATTACTAGAGATATATATTTTGATAAATATTAATATAAAATAATATTTTTTCGATATCTTATTAATTACTTAAATTGTTTAAGCTTTTAAATGTCATGAAAAGCAAAAAAAAATTATTATAAAGTGTACGATCCCAAGTTTTTAACTAGATACGTCACGTTACCTTGACCCAAACAGTTAAGTTACCTTAAGTAATGCGTATTATATCTACTATCTAAGTGATAAATTGCATTAATCTATAATTTTTCAGCAAGTTCAAAGTTTTATGACCCTTTACTGTTTGTTTGATAACAATATTTTCTCTTTGATAGACTACAATGTTTTTGTAATAGTTAAATATTTTTAATTGTACGAGTAGTTGTGAATTCATTTTAGTACCATATACAGTATCATAAATCACTTAAATAATATTAATTTGTAGTTTTTTATACGAATAGAAATGAATATCTTCTGTGGAGTATTAGCATATCTAATTTTTTGCCTCAATAGTGCATTTGTAGCGACATATGCAACAGATATAATAGACACTTTAACAGAAGGTTTGTAACATCAGTATACATATTTAATATTAAAGCTTAAATTTTACTTACACATTTTCCAAATTTTAATTCCTTTTTATAGATTTAAAAATCATAAGAGTTTTCAGATTAAAATCAAAGTTTACCGATTGTAAGTTTTTGTTTTTTTTTTTTAATTATTTAATATCTTGCGTTTTTTTAATTATAAGGCAAATATAGTGATAATAAAAGCTTAAGTAAAAAATGTAAATGCTTCGAAGTTGAGGATTATCGAGAGGACAACGCTGTTGGTATAGCAATTACTGAAGATGGCAAAACTTTAGTCAACGGAAACAAATATTTGGAGTTTGTTGGAAATAAATTATACCCTGAAAATTCTTTTGGGAACAATGTTGTATACGATGAATCTGCTTGGACTTTAACTAGTAATTACTTGAACTATGCTCTTTTTAACATTAAGTTCAATTTATTAAAATAATGATGACAACGAATTTTTTTTAAATAATAATGGAACACTTTTAATTTTAACTAGTTTTTCTAGCGATTATTATTATTTAAATAATACATGAAAAACAAACTAGTATTAATAAAAAATATATTCAACCTAAATTTATTTATATAACAAGATTTAAACAAGAAAATACAACTCTAAGAAAAAATTTTAAACAATATTTTTTTGTATATAATAAATAATAAGTTATGTTTAAGTAAAAAAATATCAACAATAATTTAGTGTATTTTGACTGTATCGATCTGCTTACAGATGAATTTGATGGAGATATACTACAAATGAATACAAATTACAAACATTCCGGTAGTGCTTTAAAAATTACATGGGTACAAAAGTCAACAATGGATGCATGCATATCATTAAATTTAGATAATCAATTAGATAACATACATTTGACTGTTTTAAAGGACGGAGATAGTAATTCAATTTTAAGTGAATCACTTAAAGTTACAGTAAGTTGAACTTATTATAACATAAATATTTAAATTGTAATAAAGAGAATTATAATTATTATCTTTAGGACAGACAAGTGACTTTGAGAATGAAATTAAACAATACGTTTTTAGAAAACAGTAAATACCATTTAATAATTGATAGAACTTCCTTAAATAATAGTGATTCACCAAAAAAATTGGTTATTTGGAGAATAGCCCAATGTACAGACAACAATAGTGGGTAAAATTTTACACGTATTTCTAAGAAATATAAATTATATCATAATTATTTATTTACAACTTGTATTATTTAATTTTAGAAAATTATGAATTTTATAAAAGGAGTATAAACAGTGGTCCGAAATTAATTTGCAAAGAAGGCAGCTATTATCAAAATGAATATCCTCCATATGATCATAAAGGTCAGGTAATCAGGCATAATTATCTAATGTGAATCATTGAAATAATAATATTTAATGTTTAATTATAGAATGCAGTGAAAATAAATTCGGATTTAACTGTTCTTTTTCTTGCTCGTCAAAGGAAACGGGTTGTCAAAATTTAATATTTTTCACACCGTTTATGAAAGAAATGAAGTCGGCATTTTGTGCATCGGGTTATTCTGGGCAATATTGCGATCAAAGTAAAATGCTATTTATGAATAATAAACGTTAGGAAATTCAGACATAAAAAATAGTTCTTATAATGAGAAAGTTATGGGGTCAATCACATTTATTTTTTAATTTCTCATTAAAAAATTCTAAGAAGTTTAAAATTTGCTGTCGCGGTTCGTTTTAAATTATAATTTTGTTTGATTACTTAAAAAATTGATACGTTAATAACTACGCATTTACTGTTGTTATTTAAATATATGTACATTAATTGAAAAGGAAGTTATTTACTACTATCTAAATAGGACAATAAGTAAAGGAATTAATATGAAAATAATATTTTATATACTATATAATTTAAAAATGATTATGTCACATTCAAATTATTAAAAACCATGGAGGGTCAAAGTTAATATATTAATCTATTTGTTATGATTAGTTAATTTGTTTTTTTTGTTTTACATAAGCGATATGAGTAATTCCGGTAGTCTTAAATTTTCATCTAAATATTGGTTTTTTTCTTTTCATTACTTGTGTTGGTCAAAATCACTAAAACGGCAATTTTAACCGTAATTACCTTTTTCGTGATTTTATCAAGTAGTCTATGATAATATTTCATATCGCAATATAGTATATTATATAGTATATTAGTATATACGTATTAAAAGGAAAAATAAAAAAATTTCAGAATGTAAATCTGGCACTTATGGTCGCGGTTGTCTAAAAAAATGTCCANCGAGTTTGTATTAGGCATTTTCAATGCCGTTTATAAAAGATACCTTATAAATCGGATCAATACAAAAATGTAACAATAATAACTCTAAAAATATTTGAAAAGAAATGTAATTTTTTTTATTACCTACATTCAGGGCTGGATTTAGGACTAGGCTGACTAGGCTATAGTCTAGAGGCGCCACAACTTGAAGGGGCGCTGCGGCCGGCAAAACTCTTGATTTTTTTTTAGATATAATTCCTTTCTGCGAATTTAATTTTCCATCTACTGGAATTAATGTAGTTATTTTGGTAAATTAGTTGCTCGCTGTTGTAAAATTATAAAAATAGCACGGAATATATTCTACAATATATACATATAATGTGATTGGACAGGGTAACTACGGCACGACGGTATACATTGTCTAAAATAATAAATAATCGGCGACGGCGGTCGTATAAATTGTGCCGAGCAACCAAATCAAGGAAACGCTAAACGTATTATTAATTAATGTTTCTTATTTTTTATAACTGTGCACATTTTTGTTGTTTACAATAATAAGTTGACAATTGTATTTACTAAATTAATCGTTTATTAACAGAATAAAAATATAATTATTATTCATTAATTATAATTTATGCACGATTGATTTTTTTATCATCATAATTTAAACTACAAAATTTCAATACATAATTTTTTTACGTTGACTTATAAATACTTTTAAAGTAACTATACATTATACACTAGAAAATACAAATTTTTAAGTAAATTGGGAGGGGGTGATCAGCTCAGCTCTCATTCTATCTGTGTTTTAAGTGGGCGTTTGTCCCTATTTGTCCGTTTTAGATTTTGTTTTGATTAATTAAAAATATACGTATTAAAAGGAAAAATAAAAAAATTTCAGAATGTAAATCTGGCACTTATGGTCGCGGTTGTCTAAAAAAATGTCCAGATAGTTGTGCAAACACGTGTGAAATTTACACAGGAATATGCCCTTAGGAATATAGCAAAGATCTCACAAGTTTATCAAGATTTTTCAAACATATTCGAATTATTCGATCTAACGAAGAGTAACAAATGACTTGTTAAATTGTTTTTATTTTTTTGTAAATAAATAAAATGATATATGTTTGACTTCTTAATTATTTTTAAGGTTTTCAAAGATTTAGGAAAAATAAAACATAATACAAAATGAAACATTTATGTATCACAACCATATCATTAATAAACATTCATAAGTTTATAACCAAATAATAAAAAGTAATATATTATTTTTCGTTGATATTAAATTATATTATTAACAATTATATTCAAACTACAATAATTATTTTAGTATAAGACTTGTTTAATTATTTTCTGCTAAACGTAATGAATAAATTTACAAGTTTAATTATTAATGTATTTACTGACACACGAATAAAAAATATTTACCTTTAAGATATGAAGTCGCTAGTTGTCAACAGTTTTAAGTCAAAGATCAATGTATTTGTTACAATAATCAATAATAGCCACTGTGTATTTACAGTTATGAAAAACCAAGTGAATGATACATTTAATATAATAATATTTGACTTTAATGATTCAATCGTTATTAAAAACCAATTAAGTTTACCAAATTTTCTTAACGATATATGAGCAAATTTAATCCTAAATGGCTTTTAGTGTAAAATAACACTACTTTTAGTTAATACACCGTACCTTAGACAAGTAGAAAAAATAACAAATGGGCAATTATATTATGTCATATTTTACAGGTTGGAGTTACCATAAATTTAAATTGTATTTATAATACCTGTGGTTTTATTAGTGCAATGACAAATAGTACTTATTGTTACGTAGCTCATAAGTAAACGGAATAAAACGTTTGTTCGGAATCGATATTCAAAATTACATAGCACAACAGAATAAAATTTCCAATTCAATAATAGTTCTTTAACCTATTGTAACAGCTTTTATCTGATGTGTATGTACAATTCAATAATTGAGATTAATCCTATGTATTACCTGAGAATTCAACATAATTATTTTTGTATAACGGCATACGATTTTTCGTTTCTTTATAATATAAGTTTAACTGAGATATGTTTTACCTGTACTATGAAAATAACTTATAAATATTTTCTTCAAGCATAAAACCTTTTATTTTTAAACATTACCTGTGGCAACATTGGTATATTTAAATGCACAACGTTATGGTTAATTTTCATTAAAAAAAAAATACAGGTAGAAAATAATGAACACACAACTATTTAACTAGAATCAATTATTATTATTTCGCGTCTCCATTATAAATAAAAAATAATGTACAATATCATTCATGAATGGTTAAGTAAAAATGTTTAAATATTACAATAACTTATTTTAAAATTTTTCATTCGATTTTAATTCTCAGCCTTAATGGATACAAATTGCAGTCCTATTACATTGTTGTTCTGAAACAATCAATAAATATATTTTAATTGGAACTATTTAAAAATTAATGTCAACTAATCATCACATGGACATAAATTTTGTTAATTTTATTACCTTAATTATCTATGTTAGTTTATAAATATTCTCTTAGTTATAGTTCTTTTTGTACCATTCACTTGCAGATTTCCATGCACTTTCAAGTCTTTCGTTAATTTTTTGTGATGTCAAGTCTGATGGAACGTTACGGTTGTAAATTTCCATAGCTGATGCCCATTGTTTGTTAGCTTGTTTACCGAATTCAGAATTTTCGAACTAAAATGAAACAAATAAGTTCATTTAAATGAAAATGTTAAAATTAATAAGTAAAAATTCCAATATGTCATAATGAAATACAATATATCTCATCTCATAAAAAAATTTAAACAAAACGCAAGTATGCTTACCGATTTTGTTAGAGACTTGTAATTATTGTTCAATTCGTCAGCATAAGTGTTCAACTTCTTTTTAACTTGGTCAACGTTGTCTGAGTTAACTGCTTCCTTGATTTTGCTAGTAATGTCTTTGAAAGATTTTTCTAATTGGTTGAATAATTCAGCTTGGGATTCGGCGGGTTTACCGTTTACCTACGAAAAAATTTATAATAATTAAATCATTTACATTTTGAACTTTTACATTATATAATAAAATAATAACGGTTTGTTTTGTTATAAATAAATAAGTTGGAGATCACTCACCTGAACTGATGCTACGGCTACAATGGTCAAAGCGAAAATAACTTTAGTGGAAACCATTTTTCTGTTTGTAATAATTGCTTAATCGTAATTAAATAACGGAGTACTTAACTAGACGCTAAAACGAACAACACTAATGCGTCCTGGCACACTAAATCTGAATTTATAATGATGACAACTACGCCTGACGTCATGTTGACAAACATTAAATTACCTAGACCTTTGGTAGAATAACCGATAAGAACACAATTTAATTGTGCTTATACAACAGATTAATATAGAACGGAAAATACATGATTAGGTCAATGTTCATTTGACGGACTTGGAAATGTAACACTGGAAACGTTTTCTCAAAACAAATGTGGTCCAAATAATATTATTGACTTAAAATCCATGAAGTTGCTACGATTTTACAAAATATTTAAAAAATTTTATCTATAAAATTAAAGACTAAATTGATATTTAATTAATAATATTTGTGTAACAATAATTATTTCTAGTTTATTTAGTTTCCCTGTATAAGAATTAGACTTTGCCAAGTCTGTTACTTTGTTAATATCACCAACATGACTTTATTCGTCAGTATAGCATTATGAAGAATAAAGGCTGAGGATGTTACAGTCCCGTTAGTCAAAATACTAATTATAGTTTGAGTACATGATATAATGTGTCTTACACATTGATTAAAAATGTTTATGTTATTTACGACGTTATTTTAAATTTACTTAAACAACAAAGATAATTAATACTTAACATTGAAAAAGGATAAAAGTTCACATATAGAGTGTTTAGTTGGTAAGGAAACGGGTTTCTATTTTTCTCATTGTTTATAACAATTTACCTGTTTCCTTACTTGTTGAACATTGTATATAATGTTTCTTAAAAATTATAATAAAGCAATATTAATGATTCTTACACATTAAGTTTTGTCTACTTTAAAAGTAACGAACATAATATACGGAAAGGAAAGACAATTTTTATCTCTTATTATTAAAAGTGTTTTGAGTAATCTTCTATAAATATATTCAGTCCTCTTATAATACTTTATTATGAATAATTATTTATGTAAATTTTCATTTTTAATTAAATTAAACATTATTTAATCATATTAGTTTAGTATTTCATATCATGTTATGATTGAACTAACGGTCACTATCATTATTAAATAAATAAAAAACAAGTATATTAGGTGATCTTTTAATTTTAAATTATGTTAACAATATTAATAATATAATTTTATATTTAACCTTAAATGACTAAGAATACGATTAAAAATTCAAGTTAAATCTATTGCTTTAGGCTTGAATTTGAAAAAGCGATCTTAAAGTTGTATATTTACAAATCCAAGAAATAATTTTTTTGTTTTTGTGTTGTTGTTTTTCATTATTAACAATCTAATAATGATTTACTTAAACATAATTGAGTTGCATTTATTGGACAGTGTCGTATTTACGTTCAATAGGTCGAGGTACAAACTAAAAACTGAAATCCCTCTACAAAAATTCGGTAGCAAATAATTATTTAAATATAGAAGGTTTTTCAATTTTTGAGCGTAATACTATTCAAGTTTTTTGGTTTAATAGTTAAAAGCTAACATACCAGGCAACAAACACAAAATAAATACTAAAACTCATCATAGTAAAATTAATATCTACCCAGATTTGAATCAAACATAATAGGTTTAAAATATAACTTTACTAATGGCAAAATTGTACAAATCTTAATAGATAGTAAAAAAATCTGCTTAAATATTAAAATTTCGTTTATAAAAAAAAATGAATAGTAATTTATAGCTATGCTATGGTATACAGAATTACTGAAGCCACTCGATTACTTTAAAATAATTATTATGCTAAGAATTATGCTTTTTTTTTTTTTTTTTTTTTTATTAGCTTTCAATACAGAAGTATTATTATAGCTAAACGATTAAGATAAAACTATACAATAGAAACTAAGACAATACAATTTTTGGTATCTTTTAGTTTCATATATTTTTTAATTTTTTTATTTGTCAGTTATAATTTATTTTTTAAATTCATCTCTTATAATGTATAAGGGTGTCAACATTATATTTTATATGGTAACATACATATTTAACTAGCTTATAATATAACAAATAATCTATTTAAGAAAATGACAAGTTGATAACGACTTTTGACTTATTATTTTAGAAGTCTTACCATTTTAAAATATATACTGTAAGTGAAGTGTGGGAATGACGATATTTATCAATAGATAACTCTCTTCTAGGTATAAAAATATCCCAGTAAGTTTTTTAAAAATATAAAATATTAATTAAATAATATTATTGACGATATATTTGTTCACTATATGAAAATAATAAAAAAAAAAGAATGCATGTATCAATATATTTTTTAATATTTTATGTTATATATGAATATATAAATATTATATATGTATATATATCTGATTTTTCTGATATATTTGAGTACTATTTACTAAATTTTGAGTTGCTACAACAGTGGAAATTGTGACTTATTCTTAAAATTATGTTTTTTCTTCTTAAAAATAACTCTTTAAATAATTTTAAAACAATGATCAACTTTTTAGCATTATATATCAATCAAGTAGTATTTCAAAATTAAAGATTGAATGATTTATGATTTTTTTTCAGAGAATTAATAATAGGTATTGTAAACTTGCCTCCAATCTTTCCAAATTAATTTTATTGTTTTCTTAGAAGAAAAAGTAAATTATATATATTAATATATGTTTGAAATAGCACTGAAAATTTTAAATGTTATGTGACTCCTGAATCAAAATATGGAAATAGTCAGTTGGATCTATAAGTCAGTTGGATTCTTATAAAAGTAATGAATGTTTTTCCAAAAATATTTCTTGTATTATCACAATTTGGTAGACGTCAGGATAATGTGACTAATTAAAAAAGGTTATTTTAATTATTATTATTATTATTATTCACTTCTATTGTAATTCATAAATCTAATAATTATAAATAATCATAAATCGCTAATATTCATTAATCGAACAAAGTTTAGGAAAATTATATAAATTTAATTTATTTTTAAATATCAAAAAATAATTTGAACATCGCTTTTAAGTTATTTATTATATTTATAAAGAACTATTTAAAGTATTTTTTTTGCTAACTAAAATGTGTTAATAATTTTTGTTATCTTGTGACAAAAAAAGTAAACGAATTTTTAAAAATTTTTAGATATTGAATTTCTGTAAATTATATTTTACATTTTTCAGAAATATTTTTTTCAACTACCTTAAATAGCTAAGTTAATTACATAAATTTTTAAAATCAATCAATAAAAAGAAAAGATTCTATAAATATATAGACATATAGAAAAGTTGTGATAATATTATTTTGTTAAATTTGAAATAGAAAATTTATTTGTTGGAAATCTGAGAATGGACCAATCACGTCGCAAGTTACAACTTATGACATGTAAAAATACTTTATATAATATAGTGAAAAATCTTATTTATTACTGACAAACTTTTTTCACGTTTATGTATGCACATATTTTCTATTGTATAACACTCTTAGTATTAATTAATTCTATGGCAAACATTTTCTTTGTGTATATTATGACTACTACTTGTTTGTTTAACTATTATTACTTTGTTTTCTAGTAGTTGGAATTAATTATATTTCTAATATACATAATATTTTTACATTTACATAAAACATTATGAAAATGATAATTGTGCTTTATGTTGAAGGTTAAGTGAAAATGAAAAAGTTTTTAATAATTTGAGCTTATTCTTTTATATAATGTAGTTAATTTGTATGTATAACTATTTTTTTAATTATCGGATATATTTACTATAAATTATCGAAGACTATTAATAAACAATGAGTTTAGTTAAAAAGATGATGTGCAGAATGTAGGTTTATTTAAATATTATTATATTAGACGTAGAAAATATTTAATAATTACTAATTGAAGTATAAGTAATAATATCACTTTAGTAAATATTAGGGTTCTAATTTTGTATAGTAAAGCTACAGTTTAGTGGAGTACCAGTATAGTAGGGACTATACCAGTTTACAATTAAAAGATCCACCGAGATTTTTACCTTAAATCTCGCCTTCTTAACTCAATTCTGGATCCTGGATAGTTTTTTAATTCATCAATTTTTATTATAAGTTGGTTTTTCATATTTCTAAAATAGATAAAATTGATATCAGTTTTTATAAAACAGCTATAATAGTTTACTAAACGTTGAATTAGTAAGGAAGCAGGTAAATTATATCAAACATGAGGAATAATAGTAACCCTTTTCTTTACTTTTAAAAACTATGTAAAAAAGGCCCAAGCATTTATGACAGATTTCTAATAAAAACGACCCATAATTATTTTCTGATAGCTCACCTAACCAAACCGAATCTTAATAGAAACTAAACGTAGTTGAAACTATTTTAGATATCTGTCTGTCATAAAAATCACTTATCATTAAAACCTTGGACGTTATAATTCATAAAATTATTTTTGGAATGGAAATGTTCAAGTTAACATTGTAAATATTTAACTTAATATAAACAAGTATTAAAATAACTCCAGCTTAAATATAATTTATAGAGTAATATTAATGAAGTTACTCTCTAAAGTTTCATTAATAAATCATTAAATAGTCTATAGTTTCGATGCGTAACTAAGAATTTTATATGCAGTTTAAATAAATAAATACATTTTGGAAAACTGCAAGGATTATAAGGAAATTCTACTGGCAATATATTAACTTATTTTTAACTTTCTCTGGGAAATTTTTTTAGAAAATCCAAACATTAACCAAAATACTTGGAAGAAGAGTTTATAAATATCATGTCAAAATTATTTTTTTTCAAATGTAAAGAAAATCGGGATGGCAAATATATACCTAGAGGAGTATATGAAGTATCTCCTGAAATTAACCTGACCAATAATCTGTGAGGTCAGCTTAAATATAATTCAGTGACGATTTTTTTATCAATAATGTATTTTTTAGGAGATTTATAGCAAATATTTACATTACTTCTTCTTTTCTCCCGACTTTTGGGCAACTAATTTTTTTGTAGAACAAGGGGGTTTATTTATAATATATTCGGGGGGAATCTATTTACAAAATCGTTATGAGCGTTTTACGTGTCTCTATAGATGGTCTTATTGGGGGTAGATCTATATAATAAGAGATTT